AGGCTGGGTACAGAAACTCTTCCAGAGGGGTGTTGGAGCTCTTCTTAATTATATTCAAAAACACCTACAAAGAGAATGGCCAAACCTGCCCAGACAGTTCATTCCAACCCTTAACTGTCCTGGACATTGGAAACCTGTTCCCTGAAACCTGATCTTAAACACTGACATTGCAAAGTAGTCAACTCTGAGCTGTGCTCTGCTGACCCTTTTAAAGTGAATAGTTTACAACACTCAACAGTTGTTCCCAAAATTAATTACTAAAAAGTATAGAAGCCCAAAACTTGTAAGAGGAATCTGAGAGGAATTGCAGCCAGTTCTGCTTCAGTGACTTCCTGGTGACAACTGGAAACGTGGTGCCAGTGGAACACAGGAATCCAGGGGGGAGCCACAACAGTAAATTGTTTGTTTCAGTTGTAAAATTGGTGAGAGCAGAAGGAAAACGACGAAACCTTCACTTTAGAACCGCTTGGAAATCCAACGGTAATTCTGAGGGCGCCCGTGTTGGTGGCTCAGATCTCTTCCAAACCCATTTGTCTTCAGGAAGAGCTGAAAAGGTGTTATAAAACCTACATTTTTCTAAATAAGGTATGACCTCGCTTATCCACTCCAGCTCCAAATTGTATCTTGTGAAATTGTGTTCCTGCATTATGGGATTCTAAGGTCAGGCAGGGGGTCAGGGCAGCCAGGTATCCCCCGGCTCAGCACCCACAGGGCTGCTTTTGCAGCAGATCATAATATTTAGCTGTGTTTCCAGTACATTCTGAGGTTTTACCAATATTCTGTCCTGCAAACAGAGGAGACTCCCTGGCTATGACACATTGCTCCAGAACAGGTAGTGATCTAATGAAAAGCAAAGGAAGACTGAGAGGGCTTTGCCGGAGCCCTGCGTGATGGGAATGTTAACAAGTCCACTCACGTCATCAGCTTCCCTGCTCCCCCTCCCTCCCTTCCTTTCTCTTTCATGAGCCAGCCTGAAATCAGGGAATTACATGCTAAGGAAAACCCTTCAGCTAAACATATAATTATTCTGCACAGGATCAGTGCAGCACAGTTAATCAGTTTACCAACTGAATTAATTTTTATTTTTTCATGTCTGCATCTCCTGTTGAGAGCGGAGAAATTCTAGACATAAAGATGAAAAAATGGCTTGCAGTTGTGAAATGAGTGTCTAAAGCAGAGCATTCATTATGAGAAACCTCCACTGAAGGCTGTTTGGGCAGACAAACCTGTCAGTGCCCAAGACTTTGAATCCCAGACTCCGTGTGGAGTTATTACTTACAGGTACTTAAGAAATAGCTGGTTTCCCATTTTAATTTTCGGCTGTTCAATAACATTCCATTCTCTGAAAGTCACAGCTGTATTTCACTGCATTGTGTTTCATTTCATTACATTGGGCTGCTCTGAAAAGTGAGTATTTATTTAAACAGAGGTGTCACTTCCCTGTAAATGAGTTCACATTTTAAATGACCTACTTGTAAACTGCTCCCCTCAGGAAGCACAGCATCTTCAGTGCTCTCAGTTGTAAAAGTACAGAGAATACCTTTTAGATTCTACTTACAATGGAGACACAATCTAACATGCTTTTATTAATTCAGCAGCACATCAGACCTCCTCTCTGTGCCCCAAGCCCCCAGATTCTCTGCAGGACTCCCAGTGCCTGGTAAAATAGATGGGCTTTGGTTTTTGAGGGTCACTGAAAACCTGCAAAGTGTCACTGAGTCTCACACTGAGTTCCTGGGCCAAAAAGCAACCAAAGTCTCCAGATAAAAGATTTCAAATGTACACATTAAATCTAGTTTGTCATTTACTCACATTAATACGTTAAAGTTAAAACTGGCCAAATTAGAAACTACTCTGATCCTCACTGTACTTGCAAGCTCTATGGTCAATATTTGTTTTCCAACAGGGCCACAATGGAATTTGAGCAAGGCAAAGGTTTTTCTTAAAGTACCTTTTGGATCCTTAGTACACAACCCCAGGAAAACATGTAAGTTATGTAAGAAATGGGTGTGTACCAGGGGAAATGCTTGTTCATTTTCTGAAGTAAAACTTTGGAAAATTTGGGAGGAAAAAGAACAGTGACTGAAAACTATTGGTAAAAATCCCTTCACAATTAACGTTTTCAGCTCCTTCAAAAATATTCCTTTTGACCACAGTGCCTTCTGCTGTGTAACTGCTAAACTTGACAACGTATTTTTGTACAAGGGCAATTTCTTTAACACAAAAGTACCCAGAGTTTTAACTTCTAGATCCTCTGTGAGCCTCAGGAATCAATTGCTCAAGACTTGCATGGCCTTTTCAGGTTGTCCACACCATCAGCTGCAGTTCCCTAATTGAATTCCAGTTGAATGCGCTCCCCAGAGAGCAACTGTGGATAAATACAAGATGCCAACTTGTCATAATAATGTTCCTTAAAGCCTACCCATTTTTACTTTTCTGGCAAGTAACATTTCCTTAAGGAAAAGAACAGAAGGGTGTCTCCTCTTGTGGGGGGGGGCTCGGGCTCTGATTTCAAACTGTAACCAGGACACATTCTGGATCCCCAGGTCTCAAACCATTAACATCATTTTTGTGGCTTTCTTCCATCTTCTCTATAATTATTTGATGTTGCTGGTACTCACTGCTACTTACTTTCAAACATGTACTTTGCTAGGAGATTTTAGAAGTAAGTTAGAGTAGCTTAAATAATTATGCCAAGTGCAAGTTTAAAAAGCATATTGCTCTCATTTGCCTCTGAAATAGATTATAATTTACAATCTGTACAGATAAAAAAATATTGAATATGTATTTTAAGCCCCCCAAAAGGTATATTACACTTGCAATATTTTTTATATTGATTATTAACATGTTGCTATCAATAGTAAAGATAATATTGCTCATTCATAAAGTGGTGATTTTTCTAAAATGTCTTTAATGTATTCTTTATTGCTGTCAAAGAATTGTACCTTTCAGAATAGAAGAAAAAACTACCTTATCACTGAAAGTTACCTGTGCAGACCTTGGACCTCTCTGACACATGGATTTAGCAGGATGACTGTATCCGACACAGCTGAGCTACAGAACATGGGGAAATACAGGAAAATGGGCCACAATTGGGCAATTTTTTGCCATGTAAGGTATTTACAAGTAGTTTTAAACTAATTCTGGTCCACTGCCATTTGTGTGGGTCGGGTCTTTTCTTTGGCTGCAACTGAACTATGCATTGGAAAAGGTAAATAGTGGGATAAAAAAGGGGCTTGTAATCTTAATGTGGGAAAAATGGACTAAAGGGCAACTGCCCTGTTTGCAGGTTTGCAGCTCATGTCACCAAGGAAAATATTGATGTTTTAAATACTCCAATGTTCATTGCATTATCCTTATTTATGCCGAAGCCCAGAGGCACAGCACTGGCAATCCTGCCTACTCCAGACGTCCCTATGGATGCAAGATGCAGTCTGGTAGAGAAATCCTACTGTCAGGCACCTCCAGACATTTCAAACCTTGTGTTTGTATGACCTTCTTGCTTCCCATGGCATGCACGGCACATCATGGATTAGTGTTGCCCAGGATGTAACCAGTTTGCATCAAAAAGGATAAAAAAGTAGCAGGAAGTGTTTTTAAATGTAGCAACAAGTATTCTACACACTTTGACATTTAATTTACATTATAATTCAAGTAATGAGTTAAAAAGCAGAAGGATCTGTCAACTTTCTAACTCTTTTATGTGCTGAAAATAAAGGTGTGGATCAGAAAGCTCTCCTCTGTATGTACATTAGGATCTGCTATCAGGAGCCTGGGAATCAATCCTGTATCTAAAGGTTTTAGGATCCATCCCAATGACCTGCTTAAGCCCTCCCAATTACACTGAGTTCCCAAACACCTGAGAAACAAAGTACATACATTCCCCTCGATCCCATTTGCTTCCCGATACTCTGTGCCTGTAAAAGAATAATTAGCTCATACTGGTAACGTGTCTGATGAGCACCCAAACAGCCCATTTTCAGGGAAGTATGGGAATGTAGCTCAGCAAAATGAGATCAGAACAGTTCCCTTATTCATGATAACACTTTGAAAGCTTTAAGGACATTACAGTGGGCATCCAATTCAGCCCCCCAATAAGTTAGCAATCACATTACTGAAATCATTTGCACGAGTAACACACCCCCCAAATTTGCACCTCTTGTCCTTATGTAACAGAGATCCCCCGTGGCAGGAATTGTCTCCAAGACAGACAGCTCATCAGGAGCACTGTAAAACAACACTAATGCATCCCACCGTGGGGAAACCCCCCCCCCCCCCCCACGCCGGAGAAATTCAAACCACTCATCATCAGGAGCAATCCCCCCTTCCCCCTCCCATCCATCCCGGTGTGTTTGCAGCACAGCCGAGCATTGTCAGGCACAACATGTCAGAGCTGACGGCTGTGTCGGGAAACTGCGAATGTGCAGGGAAATCATCCTTCCTGTCAACTTATCCCGACGAGTTTCCCCGAGCTCAGCCCTGCGCTGCCCACGGTGCCCGCGGCACACGGGAGCCTTGGACACCCAGCTGGGAAGGCTGGACACATCAGGACGTGTCACTAAAGGAGCAGGACCCCTCGGTCCAGCCACGGGCACCTCACGCTCCTTGTGGTACCCGAAACTACAGCCAAGTGCTGCACAGCCACTGCATCAGATCACCTGATATGAGCAAACCAGACCTAATCAGGGCAAATTTAAAGCAGCCAAACATCACGACGTTCCTCTGTGAGAGGCAATGATGGAGCCCTGAGACACAAACACTTTCCGTCTGCATTCCCCAACAAATGCATCCGATCCCACTCCGCTCTCGGCAGCAATTCCAACAACATGCTGCACAGCTTAACCAGCCTCTGCTCAGCCTGTCTGTAACAACTACTGAGCAAAGCAGCACACGGATTATCACAACTGAATAAACTCTTCCCAAAACAAAGAATGCCAGAGCAGATATGGAAATTGCGAGGATCCAAAGTACAGACAATACACAGTAATAAATGATCCTACCTTTCATCCAATCCACTACTTGCTTGGGCGTCCACTTGCTAATAGGTTCCATAACGAGAGCCATCATCAGATCACTTTATCATTCACACCAAAATCAGGGAAAAAAAGGAGAGGAAAAACGTATCAGAGCATGGCTGGGCTAAGAGAGCTGTCGGATTTTACAGTGCAGTTCAAAGAGAAGATGATGCTTTGTCCCTCCAGGTTTCTCCTGCACTGATTCAGTAATGTATAAAATTACACTGCTTGATCAGCTCTGGCACCTCCCCCACTGCACACAGCCTGCAACACCCGGAGCTGCGAGCCAGGAAATGGTGCAGTACGTATGGACTCACTTACCAAAGCTCTACCCACTGATCCACTTATTGCTCTGGCACAAATATATCAGCATATTACACCGAGCGCGAGCCACGCTGGAGCCGTTCCAGACACTGAGTTTTAAGGAGCTTTATTCCAACGAGCTCTGGGATCTTCATCAGGGAAAATGTCACTACTGTAACTTGATAGCAGATTGTCTTGGCTTCATTGTGAATATGCTGACTGTCACTCAGCTCAAAGTGAAGACAGAAACATCAGAATATCGCTTGGCATCTGGCAAAATGCTGAGCAGCTCCATCCTCACAATGCGAAATGTTGCTGGAGTCTTGCACTATATAATCAGGCAATTCAGAATGTCAAACACAGTATGAAAAGTCTTACCCAAGAAAAAAACTACTGGAAGAAAACTCTTTTTTCTGGCCACATTCAGAGCCAGGATATTTCCTCCTATGAGCTGCTCATTCTGTAGTGAAAGAATGACGGCACTGAGGAGTCAATTTGTACTCCTACAGCACTTTAGATAGACAAGCACAGCGTGTATTTTGACTCTTAGCACTGGGACCACTAGTCAATCTCTCCCTTTTGTTATGAAGGAAGAAATGTTTTAAATATTCCTAATCTTGAGGTTTAGTAGCTTTCTGACAGATGAAGGTGAAACCTTTTACTGAGATGTGCCAAACAGTGTTTTTTTGGCCCCATTTGTGACTCTCTGCACCTCCTGCAGCACAAGTTTTGTATCCTGTGGTCGAGGAGGTGCATTCTGGCTCTGATCCATTGTCTGAGATCTGCAGCCCCACTCTTTTATGTTAGGGGGAAAAAACTCAGATTCCAGAAAAAAAAGGCAGAACAAAGCAGTTCCACCTTTCTCTTCAGTGATCTTTCCTCTGTGCCCTTTTCTTCCTGCGCTGCTCCGAGCTCCCCCGGCACATCAGGGGAAGAGGATGATGCTGTTCCCATGTGTGCTCCCCTCCACTGGGGCTGGGTTAAAGTGCACAGGCTGAGATCTGTCCTCTGTTTCCCATCCATATGGGAGAACATGAAACACAAATGAATATTTAACATATATTCACAGGATGGTTTGGGTTGGGAGGGACCTTAAAATGATCCAGTTCCATCCCGCTGCCATGGGCAGGGACACCTTCCACTAGCCCAGGTTGCTCCAAGCCCTGTCCTACCTGGCCTTGGACACTTCCAGGGATCCAGGGGCAGCCACAGCTTCTCTGGGCAGCCTGTGCCAGGGCCTCACCACCCTCACAGCCAAGAAATCCTTCCCAATATCCCATCTAACCCTGCCCTCTGGCAGTGCATGCTCTACCCTTCAGGGTTCTTGTTTATACAGTTAAGGAAGCAGACAGGCCTCCCCTTCCCCCCCCAAAAAATGTCTCCAAAGAGCTGTACCATTCTCAGCTCACTGATGCACTCTATCCTTTTTTATTTTTCTTTTGCTTTGGGAAATAGTGTGATTAGTATTCTGTGATGTAGTTGGAGTGCTCAGAGCACAGATCTCCTTTACAAAAGGATTCACATCAATTCTCCAAGAAGGCTGAACAGCATGTCAGCTTTCTCTCTGAGTTTTGGGAGACCACTTTCAGTAGCTTTAGTTCTGTCCAAGTAGCTGTTTACAATGGACATAATAATGACAAAGCTTTCAAAGGCACAATACTTCTCTTTTTAGGCAATAGTGGGCCAGAATTGAGAATAAATATTTCTATTAGCTATTGGAAACTGTACAAGTTGTTTTGGGGCTATTCTTTCTTAAAATTCTTAATTTAAGTTCAATACAAGCATGGAAGAATATGAGAGAAGCTATGTTGGCTGTGAACTTGGTATTTTGACACAATTACATGAAAAAAAAAAATCCCAAATCTTCGTTCACAAAGCCTAGCCATGACATGAAAAAATCTTCATTCATGATTGTTTGGACTATTTCCCTAATTCCTGTCATTTGACAGACATTATGTCAATGCCCTTTTGTCTCACATTTCCTACCCGGGCTTGACTAGGCAGACTTTTTTATATATTCTGACATATTTTTGAAAGAGGATGGAGCCTGAATTCAAAGCCCATCAACGTCAGTGAGCGTACTTCCACTCATTTGAATTGTCCTTGGATGACAAAAGAGGCCCAAAACTATTATTTTGGAATCAGGACTTCTCTTTCCAGAATGAGAACTTTCTAAGTCTTTTGTGTCCTGTTACTGAAGCTCCCCCTGACAACGATGGTTTGCATTTTCCTTTATTCAGGCTGCTATTGACCACCATGGTTTTAGTTCAGGTAGTAACCATAATTTATCTGAAAGAACTTGGCTATTAGATAATCTGTGATTTCTTTATTAATAGTACTAGTCATGGTTTGTCTGTATTTTGGGTTTCTGCAACCTTCAGGACAACTGTCTATTTTATGTTCTACATGGAATAAAATATTTACAGCTGTTAAAAACAGTAACTCTGTTTCTCTCTTTCCTGAGCAGATGATTAATTCAGCTTCATTCTCCATTGCAGAGATCAGTGCACATGGCCCTGCTTTGTCACCAATCCCTCCAACCCCAGAGAAACGTTCACTTAACTCCTCCCATGTCATTGTCATCGTGGCAGCCCACGGATGGTTGTACCTGGGCATTTCCTCTGCTTCTTGTTTTGTTGTCTCAAGAAAGATTTATTTCTCCCACCCACGAGAATGTCACAGAACATAAGAAGCCTTGTCTGGATCAGAAAAGGAGCCTGTGATGGACCACAGGACTCGGGAATGGATCCAACTGAGCAAGAGCTGAGGCCAAACAGAGGTGAGATGTGTTCAGACTATTCCTGAACCACGGTTCAAGGCAGTTCAGAGCCCTTTTTAGTACAGGTTGTCCATTGTGCCAGCTGAGGTAATGACTTTGAAATGAGTAATCATGGAATGTGCCACCCATTGCACTGAGCCACTGTCCTCACTCCTGACAGGTTCCAAACAAAGCCGTGCTGGAGTGAAACCACCTCCCTCACAGTTCTTGTCAGCCATGGGCCACTGTAGTGAAATCAAGTTTCAAAAGTCACCAAACAGGGAACTTTTTAAAAAAAAATAAGCAGAGCTCTGTAATCTGTAATCCCTACAGCTATTCCATGTGTTTTTCTGCCCGTTTATTGCAAGGCTTCTGCTCAGATCTATCCCCCAATCTCCCCAGCACTGCTTCCTAATGCCGACATAAAAGCAACAATGCATTCCCATGACTGTGTTTTTCTTCCAGGCTGAATGTAGCAAATCAAGAGAAAAAAGATCAAGGAACATCTTTCTCACTATTATTCTATCTAGGTCATGTAAATGAGCAGTACTTTCTGACTGAAGTCTGCACAAGCATTGGAGCAAAGTCAGGCGTTTGCGACAGAGAAAGGAAACGGAGCCTTCACCAAACGCTGCAACGTTGTTGTCAAAGGCCTCTATAAAATAATCTGGTAATTGCAGGCCATAATCATCACTATCCTCCTTGACAGCGAAGGCCTGAGGCCGAACAGGCTGGTGGAAATGTTTGAGTCCCTCCTTCTTCACAGCAATAACGCTGGTAGTGCTTTAGGTTTTGAGCACTGCCCGGTATCTCTGGGATTGCTAATTAAACCATCATTCTCTGGATTTTCATGGTCACTGTGGGAGGCACTTAAATGTTCTTGTGTGTTTCATAGCCAGTGATAACTTTCCAATTAAGGATTAAGCTCAAATCTGGTAACAAAGTCAGTCCAACACTTAGAACAATCATATATTTCTGGCAGTTTTCATTTGCTGACAATTATTCTCATATTCTTTGATGAAGAAAGAGCCCATATGTTGTGAAATAAGTCCTTTATCAGCAAGTTAGTTCAATAAAATCTTGACATGGCATTTGATGTCCATTATGGAAAAACAGGAGCATGCAGTTCCAGATTAAATAAGTCATGAATGCCCTGGGAAAGTGGTATGTAATGTTGTAACTTAGGACATCTATAATTTATATTATTAATGGAAATGTAAGCAAAATCTCTAAGGAAATGACTGTTGAACTCTTGGTTATCTTTAAAGTTTTTTATCATGTAACATTCATATATTATACAGCTGCTTTTTTGGAAAAAATTTTAAAAAACCACGAAGTTAAATTATTAGTTTTGCTCAGTTCTGTTCTAAGCCAGGTTCTGCCTGGTGCTGCCTCCACATACCCTCTTCTTTTCTTCATAACCCTGAAACCCTTGTTTCAAAGATGGAAGGCAAGAAAACAGCCTTTGGTGGATTTTTCTGAGAGAAATAAAGCTTGTGCTGGGAGGAACAAACCCCTAGCTTAGGCTGTGATAGGGATCAACAGATCTTCCTATTTAATGATAAACCTTTGCCTTAATTAACCCCGGGTTTACTGGCTGGGTTTTGACTGTCAGAAGAGCTGGAGGATGATCCTGTGCTTGGAAAGCCTGTACAGGGGCTGGAAGGAATGGGAAGGTAGGATCACTCCCAGCTTCCAAAAAGGATCAACAAGAAGGTGCTACATGATCCATCAGTCCTTCAGGTGGGTATTCCATTGTTGTGTCCAGAGAAGCTGTGGCTGCCCCATCCCTGAAGTGTTCCAGGCCAGGCTGGACAGGGCTTGGAGCAACCTGGTCTGGTGGAAGGTGTCTCTGCCATGGAATGAGATGGGTTTTACGATCCCTTCCAACCCAAACCGTTCCATAATTCCCTGATTCTGTGATTCTCACAGTTGATGCTGGAGATATTCTGCCCAGCGGAGGCATCAGCCCTTGTTGTCCTCTCTGGAAGTCCCTGGGCTGTGACCCCTCGGCGAGGAGCTCCCCGATGCCGCGGGCAGCACCCCCAGCCCGCGGGGCCCCGCAGAGGATGAGGATGGAGTTCCACATTCTGGAGTGCCATCTACTGGCACCGCACCCGTGCTCAGCCTCCACCGAGCCCCGAGACACTCTCTGCGGGCACCCAGGAGCCTCCTTCTTAATAAGCACCAATTAATTAATTAATTAATTAAAC